TGATCAGGGATACTGTTCCTGACAGCTTGTAGTCCATCCTCATGTGGAATATTGGTGTAACGTGCTTCTACATCCATGGTGGATGGTGTTTTCAGGAAGAACACCAATGCATTGTAGTTTCCTCAGGAAGTCGGTGGTGTCTCGAAGATTAAGACAGCAAAAGAAGGGAACCTGAAATACGGAGCTGAAGTCATTTTATTCCCCAAAACATTAAAGAGAAGGTTTTTTAGCGTGGGAATAATTTTATTGCCCAGAAAGACAAGGCCTGCAGTGGTAATTGTTTTATAGCAGGAGACTTCAAACTTCAGACTTGGTAACGGAAACTGACTGCTCCAAAGAATATAATGAAATATTTGTCTATGTGGAAAAATATGCAAGGGAAGCTACCTAACAGAAGTTTTGAGGCTGTCGTCATGACAAAAAATGTTACTGGTTTTGTGGGAATTGGAAACTATTTTGCAGCTTTGCAGTTGGATCAGGAAAACGCTGGCGAACTAAGGATGATGGGTATGTATGGTGGGGATCATGCTAACATTGGGCAAATTGGCCTGCGTTTGCCTGAGGACTAATGCAGTACTTGGACTCAAATTGCCTCCAACACACGCATGGAAGGAAGAGCGGGAAACAAAGTCTGATCGCTGATGTAACACTTCCCGGAGTTTGCGAGCAGCAAGAGGAGGGGGACGTTGAAACTACATGTCTTAGACGGTGGCTAGAAAATCAAAACTTTGGGAACTGGTGGCATCTATACGTCAAGTCTGAGACAGTTTGGGATGCCATCTGAGCAGTTTCTTAAGGCATTTCTCTGCACCGTATATTCAGTAGGAGGCACATTTCAAACGAAGTCGTTGAACTCTCCTGACGAAGCATGTAATTATGTTGGTTGATTAATATGATTCATTCTAGTTAACACATCCAGTTCCTACTGTTCCTGCTTTCAGTATGGGTATCTCCCATTCATTTGGAGAAGAAGGGGTCAAGGATTCCCACCTAAGGAAGTCTCCTTTAGCAACCTGGAAAAGAGACTCACTGAAAATGAAGAGAAAGAGGGAAATATCTTAGATAGTCCAAGATGTACAATTGATAGAGGGAGAACATAACTCTGGAGAACGGGAAGAAGTGCAACTTCGACCAGACAGAAGGGGTCCTGCAGCGTGCAGGGAAGTGTGCCTCCTTCTGGAGGAAAAGACTATGCCTGGGCTGAAGAAATAGAGCAGACACCATCACGAGGAAACCTAGACTGGAACTAGGGCATTTAAAAAGTGGAGGCACTGTCACCAGAAGGAGGGATGAGAAAGTTACTCACCTTGCAGTAACTGAAGTTCTTTGAGATGTGTGTCCCTGTGGGTGCTCCACTCTAGGTGATGGTGCGTCCCGGCGCCTAGAGTGGAGCACCCACAGGAACAGCACTCGAAGAAGAATGAAAGTTTAGCAAGGGATAGAACTCTCCATAATGACTGGAAATGAGTGGCGAACAGCGACAACCTAGGTTCTGGGTAGGATAATTTACCAAAGGGTGGGGGGAAATATGGAAACCTTTGTTTTCTGGGCCACATTATATTGCATACATTTCACAAATATTCAGCTCTTTTTTGAAGGCGGAATGCATACAGAGGAATGACATAGAAAGACTATTTTGCAAGAACTTTTTTTCATTGGTTCGATTTTAGTTAGGTTTGCAAAATTTAATGGGAGACTTCAAGTTGAGAGTTTGCAAACTGTCTTATCGTAAAAGAGACAACGGGTCCTGGGAAGAAAGGCGTAATTTTTCAATCTCGATCAAACATACCGCGCTAATTGGAAAAAGGCCAGGCTCTGGGACACTCCAAATCACATTAGGTGTAAATACTCTCTCTTTCTATCTCTCACACACACACACACACACACACACACAGAGAGAGAGAGAGAGAGAGAGAGAGAGAGAGAGAGAGAGAGAGAGAGAGAGAGA